TGAACTTCATATATACATTGTATCTAATCAAGCATTCTTTGAATGGAACTTGGTAACCCTTATGGCTTACTTCAACGATAAACCCAAGATCCTAGCTATTGAATCACAACAAAGCACCTGATACGTTTTGGTGGCGATTACTCAGTTTTTTGCGCCAGAGGCGCCGAATAAAGGTTAGGCACGAACATTTCAGCGGTTTCATACGTTTCAGTGGCGAACGGTTATTTAAGCGGTAACAAAGAAGCGTCGTCTAGAAGCGTCGAGTTGGGTAGGTACGATTGGATTAGTTTTTGATTTAGTCTAGTTTCGCGAAATTTTAGTTCGATAGTAGCGAACTCGAATTAAATAGGTAGCGAACATATAAAGAACTCAAACCCTGTACCAGTTCCTTTTACCAATGAACGACTGGACACAAGTCTATTCTCGTTTACTTAGAACTCGATACTTATTCAGCAATTATTCAGCACTGAAGTCAATACTCCCACCACTTCACCAATGAACGACTGAACACAAGTCTATTTTCGATTGTCTTTCTCGGTTTACAACCTGGCTACACAATCACCCCACCCCCCTCCCCCCACCACTCATTAAAATAAAATAAAAAAAAATTCTTTCCAATCCTTCATCACCTTTAAATAACCAGTAGGTGACGAATCAGGACGAAATGACGACAGTAGCGTTATAAAAAGAGTAACACGAGTAGGAAAGTAACCATCTTGATACTTTTATTTTGCGTCAGGCATTAGTTCGGCAGCTACAAGCCTAGTACTTGGGTTTGTTAAATGTTCATCGTTCTCGTCTCTTTTTGTCCTTTCTTTTTCTTATAAAAAATTCCTAAGTGTATACAGGCAGGCTCTTAAAAGCTTGCTTTAGTAATCTTAGTCACTGGTAGAGTAAAATACCTCACAACTTTGGATCATATAATACAATCCCCGTTATCCACACTAATCTTTACTTGAAACTGTATTACTTCCGCAAACACAAGCCATCTTAACTAAAACTATGAGATACGCTTTTTACGATCAAAAAAAAAAAATTAATGCTTGATACATTGCTTTTAAATTTACAAGCCAGAAGGGATCGAGAATACAGCGAAGAGTTGACCGTTCAGTTATAATTATTGTTACCTACTAGCTAAAAGAATTTATTCATATCGCAATAATATTTAATCGTACATCCTTACAGAAAAAAAAAATAAAAAAAACTGGTGTAATAGTTGAGATTGGAATATAAACACCACTAACAACTACGCATGCAAGTGAAAGTTTTAAAGACAATTTAACCATTGCTTTTTTGGCCAAATACTAGCTGCTTTATCATCATTCAATGCTCGTCATTACACGCTTTCCAGCGAGGTACAAAACATGTGGAGTTTTATCCTTGACTTAGAATATTTGTAATGAGCGCAATATTCTAGCTCAACAATGCCACCTTCTTTGATTGCCATTGTAATTCTGAAGTGATAGAGAGAGGAAAATTCATCTGCATAAATGGGTCAACTCTTGCTTTTGGCAGATCCTCTTTGAAGATTTAAAAGACAAGTCAAGGACTACCGCAAACACTCTTATAAGTCCTTGGGGCATAACAATTTGCAACGACTTTCAGACAGGAGCCTTATTGAAGAAGGCGGGGGAGGGAGAGGGAAAGGGGAGTTAACAAAACCTCACTACAGAATTTCTTTCTCTGTCTGAAAACCTACGATTTTTAAATGGAAACCACTACAGGCTTTCAAAAACAACCAAGTGTTGTATTTTGAACGCAAAAAAGCATACCAAATTTACTAAAACGCAACTAATGACAATACTGCTACCACTTACCACTTTTTTGGGGGGGGGCTTGTTAGAATGTTTACGGTACATCGTCCAACTGGCACTTTGCTGTATCGTTTGGACTAAATTCCTTTGACTGTTTTCTCTTAAAGGCTCACAATCTTAGAAAAAGCGCACGCTAGATAATCATATCTTACTTGCTTGGCTGTTAATTTTTCCTTCTTTGCTTAACTGAGCAAAAGGAAAACAACCAACAACTAGATCAGTGAAGCACGGCTGAAACAGAAGACTTGACCAATCACAACACAGGAAATGATGTCGCCCTCTTCCCGCTCTGATTGGCTAAAGAACACTGCTAGAGATTCACGGTGTTTATAGAGAAAGTGTTGCATCAAAAACTTAATTTTAGTCTAATGTCATTGGTAAAGCTCTATTACAACAAATGTAAGGCATCAGGAGATGTTGAGGTAGATGGGTTGATTAGAATGATCTCCCAAATGGTTCATTAAAAGTCGTATTTACCCCAGATGCACTGTATTATGACAGATGCACCATGCGGATCTCTCTACCTGGAAAAACTGGTTCAAAACTGGTCTACCAATAACTCTACAAGGGTTGTGGCCACATGTGGTTTTGAGCTTCTTATTGTCAGTCTAAACATCTGAAAAGGAAGTGCAATCACTCTGTTAGAAGGTCACATTTCCGCATCGTAAACTCTTGAAGAGAATTTTAAGCCTAGCGATTACCCACTTAGCAGATGCTTAACCTTCGACACTTCCAAACTTTTAAAGGAAAATTTTATAAGGTTTCTGCTTACTTGTGCTTGTCTATTAGGTTCTAGTCGAAGCAGTGTTCCTATTTGAACGGATGATCCTTTAATAATACCGGCACAAACAAAGTTCTCCGGATTAGGGTCTACATTCTGAAGTAGGGACATTCCAAACCCAACGAGCTGAAAGACACCAAACAAAAAGTTATCACAAAAAGATAGCAATAACATAGGAATTTTATGATGCTGCAGACAGAAATTGCGCAAGTTACAAAACTTGTTCGAAGGTGTTGTCTAATCGTCCGAGTGAGGCTAATCGTCCGAGTGAGGCTAATCGTCCGAGTGAGGCTAATCGTCCGAGTGAGGCTAATCGTCCGAGTGAGGCTAATCCTCCGAGTGAGGCTAATCCTCCGAGTGAAGCTAATCGTCCGAGTGAGGCTAATCCTGAGAAGATGGTTAGATGTGTAGTTGAAGCAACCTGAATCAAATTTAGATTTGGACATTCCACCAGTTCAAGTTGTCCTGTTTTAACTTTCCAAATTGTCTACTTGTGGTGCGTTTTTGCTTTTCCCTCCATTTTTTTTTTTTTTTTTCAATGCACGTTTGAATCTACTTTTCTCGTTCATTCTACTTATCTCCAATCTCCAATCTCCACTAGTTATATACTGTGGTCTGCTTTCCTGTCGTCCTGTTCATCTATCACTCAAATTCACGCAGGTTTCCTTTTCATGCTATTGGCAGATGCCCAGTGATACTAGTGACTGCCCCTCCCCCCCCGGTGAATTGTTAAAGATTTGCAACAGCTCATAAGGAACTACACAGACAGGAAACCAAAAACTCAGAAGGAAGGGTCGCATATTAATCACTAACCTTTGTAGAAATTGTCTCTGTATCAATTGAAAACTTAGCCTTAAAAATCTGCTGGCACTCTTGATCAGGGCTGAAACATGAAATCAGGAATAAAAACTTAAACTGGGTCAGAAAACAATACTAAGAAAAAGGTCAAGTAGGACCTGTGGATTACCCTAACAAATGAGGCCATTTTACATGAAAAGGTAAGGCTAAAACGGGGCTGATTCTGTGCCTTTTTAGATAGCGGCTAGCATCCTTTATTCAGATACTGCTTCGTGTTATAATTAGTAGAAGCGCCGACCCTGACCTTAGAGGGCATGCGATTTACCTTTGAAGAACATCTCTTCGCTTTTAAATAGAGCATTCTACTACAGTGGAATACCTCTGTTTTGGTACTCGGGAGCCAGAAACGTTTGGTTCCACCTGAAAATAATGCTCCTAGAACTTTCGTTTTAAGGAAACTTACTCGAGTCCTGGGGGTGTCCCCTGTTCCATTGAACAAATACAGTTTGGCGCTAATTCTTTCCATTTTCTCATTCTCAATTCCGGCGAAGATCCATAGCTACTGTTACAGAATCTACTTACTTTCCCAACTGTTTCCATCTGGAAAAGAAGTCTTGCGAGTTCATTTCGGTCGGCGCGAAGAACTTGGAAGGAAACAGTGGAAGTGGAAGGACAATTCTTTGGCTCATGCCGTTCACACTAAAAAGAGAAAAGTAAAAAGAAAACTGCTTATTCCAAAAGTGGTAAGAAAATATCTGTACATTTTAATTAGAGACTTTTCCTAGCTACACATTCCTACTAATTCACTAAGGCTCATCCAACGTATTTTTGGCTAAAAATAAACTCTATCCATAAACGGCTGGCCTAATACCAACGTAGTCTCATTATTCAAGTAAAGTAGTCTTTCTCGATTCGATAACACGAACAAAAAAGGATAGAATTTTCACTCTAAAACAAAGCCAAAAAGGCTGATTAGCAGGTACATAAAAAATAGTAATAAAGCCAAACACTATGAAAGGTCCATAATACGGCCAAAAAAGAAACCGAGAAAGACAAAGCAGATTTTGCTATATTTACCTGAGAGAGGTGAAAACATGTAACCTTAGTCTGAAAAGTTCGTTTCTTGTAAGCCGTATAACGGTGTTTTTAGCTTTCAACCCCACAATCATCGTTGTTCCTCTTAGGTCTATTCTAATCCCTTTGGCATTTGTCATTACAGCCCTTTTCAATTGAGAGCCAACATTCATTCGGGGTTTCTCTGGTTTTGCCTTGCATCGCTTAATGATTAGTCCAGGAAACCATTTTCTCGACCAGTCAGATTCAAAACTGTCATGTACGATACATAGGTTGTGTACCATAAATCAATAACCACCTCTACAAGTAAATGCAAAGAGAAACACACCTGAATTGAAGATCTATGACTGGATGATCTTTGAATTCTGAGAGACATTCTATATTTATCATTTGTTTGACTTGAGCTCCACCTTCCACAATGTTTGGAGGAGATATAGTGTCAACTCTGATGCGTGAACAAGGTCAAGGAAGAAAACTTGACGTGCGAACGTACCTGTACGTCTAATAATTATTTAGAAATAAATTTAGTCATTGACATGTTTAGTGGAATGAGGATCTTGAATCGCTCCGAGAGGTTTAATTCTTTAAACAAATCTTAACCAAATAAATCCCAGCTTAGAGTATTCGTATGTATGACGCTATTATACGTTGGTCCATGGTTGAGTCTTTCTGGTCTAAGGAGAATAGACAAAGTGAGAAAAACTCTGAGCTCATTTTTGCCTTTGCCGTAAACGTCAATCATGAACTCAGTAATAACAAGATTTCCTACGAAAGGATATGGGTATTAAGATCTCCCGGCAGGTGAACCATAGAAGAAAAAGAAACAAACTGGGATGAGGTCTTGTTGCCATAGAACACACCAAGAGCCCCTGACAGGAGAAAAAAAAAAGAACAACACGTTAGGACAAAGAAAAAAGGACATGAAAAACAGAATAAACAAATAACGACGCATACGAAGATCGACATACGATAGTTATATTGTTGAACTGAAGTTCTGTGGCCACTTTTGGACTGTTGGAAGACAACTTACTTGAACAGCAGAAACGGACTCAAGTAATCTTCATCGAAAAGTCAAATCTTCACAGCAGCCCAGTTGCTTACCTTTCTCGTCTTTGAATTCCGATTTGATGCCGACTTGTAAGATGTCCGTTTCAAAAAGAACCCCAGTGTTTTTGCACACAAATCTGTCCAAAATCAAAGTTTTGTTTAAACAAGTCTGCCATAATGTTAGCTAATTCCGCTTAAAGTAGTTTTGTATTGCAAAGAAGACAAGTCAAAAAACAAATATGTGCACAACTTCAAAATAATGGCCACCTCCCTAGTGCGACCTGTTTATCAATGGTTGATCAAAGATGTAAACAGAGCCCCATTTTGTTACTGCTGAAGGTCAGTAACTTGACCGTGCACACTGGAGAGGATTTGTTGATCATACGGAAACGTACTTCTTGATATTCTCCTCTGCGCCTTGGGTGATGGATGGAGCACTTCCTGCTACGGGGGTCGCAGGCATCTCAAACACGTCTACTAGGAGACCACCTCCTCCTGTCTCGGGAGGTCCAAAGTTATTTGTCACTGGCTTTGAAACTGTTGTCTCTGTACCCAGGAGGTCTACAATAAAAGAGCCTGGTAAATGCCCAATTAAACTTTTACACCATTTTTTTTTTTCAACAGTGGAATGACATCTAATTGGTTAGAGGTAATTAGAAGCAAATGACCACAGGTTAATGGAGTAATTAGAAGCAAGTTACCACAGGTTAATGGAGTGTTTAAGAATAAATGTTTTGACAGCAGTTAAAAGAGATAGAAATTGAATAAAACACAATAACATACTACCTGGTTGAAGGGCGGGATTGGGTGCAGGAGTCTGAAATGAAAAATCGTTCTTTTATTCCTTGTCGTCAATTTAGGACGAGAAAGGTCGGGCAAGTTTACGAAACTAATAAAAAATTATATAAAAAAAGTATCTTTCTAGACAAAAGAAAACATTGAAAACAACTACTTTAGTTGCTATCTTAGCATATCTTCCAAGGAATGATATCTCAGTAAGCCTGAAATACATACCAGTCAACAGCTTTCCCAGATAAAAAAGCATTATTTACTGTCTGAACAGCACTCTAACCATCATGAAAGTGTCAACTTGAATTTTGTTATGCAATGTATTATTACTACAATGTACCTTCTTTCTGAATTATATTGGGTCTGTTCTTCTATTCCTTTTTTCTGAATTAATTATTGTCATAATCATGGACTTTTAAAACGGTCAGACATCATGTATACCTCGTTTATAGCAACAGGAACCTGGCCGTTGGTGGTTGGTTTTTCTACTGGTTCACTCTTCTCTTCTTTCTCAATGATTCCTGTTTTCTCCTGCTTCTTTTTCTTCAGTTTTGCTAGGATGGAAGACTCACGTTCTGGGAATGGTGGCATCTCTTCCAAAACAGTAGCCTATGATGAGAAAATGAAAGGAAAACAATCACTCCTTGACAAAGTGAAAAGAGCTCTATAGATTTAAGGGTGAGATGGGATGAGTAACACTGAACTGGAGTCTTGCTTTCTTAAACGAAATGTGTTTATTCTATAGTCATACTCTTTATCAATATAGAGAACAGTAAGCAAGGGACCAACTGTGTAAAGGACATTATTACACCACTCGGGCAGTCAGATGGCCAATAACTAAAACCAACCGATCAAAATGTTCTATTGCCGGTCAATATTCTCTCAGTATTGGACCGGGCACTGTCCCGAATGGTCCCGAATGATACCGCACTTGTGTCCCTTTGAACTTCAGT